ATAGAATTTAGCTTTTCTGAAATTTCAGTGAATTTAAAATTAGGGCTTAGGAAATTTTCTGGCATGCATTCAATACTTATGATTATGGCTTCGATTATATTTTTATATTTTGTAGTTAACACTTTTTGACAGAACTTTGAAAATTAAGAATCGTGATTAATGTGTATTATTTAATTTTTCAAGATTAGAAAAAGCTGGTTAAAAGTAGTATTTTGTGAATGCATAGCATGTCACACACTCTGAGAGCACACAGTGACTATGACATTCTACACTTATCTTTGGCCTTTCCAACTCAAGTGCCCATAAACCTCAGGCTCTGGGAAGCTATGACCTAAACAAACTCTTCTGAGCTAGCTGTAAGCTACAAAGTACTGGTATTGGCAATATTCAAGATAAAAGTTAAGCCACTGATTCCTTCATAAATTGATAAAAAGATATCATGTTGATAATATGAAATAAACTCCCTTCAAATAAACCACAAAGAATCTACTAGTTTGGAGGATTTGTTTTCCTGGATACTTCTGGGGTTTCACAAAACAGATTAACTTGTAATAATGTCTAAGTACAACTCTGATCCAAATACATGTGGTCACTTGTCATAAATAAAAATTAATGGGGCACCTGGGTGTTTCAGTCTGTTAAGCATCCGAGTCTTGATCTCAGCTCAGGTCTTGATCTCAGAGTTGTGAGTTCAAGCCCAGTGTTAGGCTCCATACTAGTATGGAGCCTACTTTAAAAAATTATCGTAAATAAAAATTTCTAAATATAATTAATGAATTCAAGTTAGTCACATTGGTGTAGATACTTTTTCCCCAAAAGTAACCCAAAGTGTGTAAATTAAGTACGTAAGTTCTCTTCATTTACAACAAAATTATATTTTAGTCAGTAAACATAAATAACAGATAAAATGCTACCTTTAAGAACTTCAGATCAGTTCAAGAAAACCTGGAAAAAGGCTGAAAATCTGATCAATTATCATTTTTGTAATGTGTAAAGTACTAAGTCTTAGGTTCCCTAAGTCATAACCTAACCTATTTTTCAGAAGAGATATAAGAATAAATTTAAGTTTTACTAAAACACTGGGTTTTGAGAAAGCATAGTCATGATCAGCTAAAAACTTGACATTTTGGTAAGAGTATAAAGAAAATCTTGAGTCATCACTTACATATTAATTACGACCTCATTCTTCACCAAACTTTTTCTTAAATATTGACAAGCCATTAAATTAACTGATTTAAATATTTCTGTCAGCTCTCGAAGTAGCAAAAGTGCAAGGGACTGGAATAGGACATCAAGCAGGACAGAACACAAGCAGCCTGAATAATTCACACATCAGCTAACGGAATGGTAAATAACAGTTTCCTTTATGCCTCTACTTTTATAAAAATAGCGCTTCTTACCTGGAAGAAGTAAGACTGTAGAGGCTGATCTTTATTTTCTTCATCCACATATAGTCCTCCTACCACATATACCTGATTTTGTTGGGTAACAATGCTAGAATGATTTCTGGGAATCTGCTCAGCCAGTGCAGTAAGGTAGCACTCATTTTCTGTGGGATCATAAGCCACTGCAGCTGTGTCATTAACCAAGAGGATGAGGTCTTTGACAAACATCCCATGCCTGGGAATGTCATTCAGGTAACCAGGAAGTAAGTCTTCATCACCAACATCACCATTCACCTCACCAGCCCCAGCCTTCTCTGCATTTTTGCTAGGTTCTGGGAGTTTGCCTGCGAAGGCATCTTTGAGAACTTTGATTTTTTTCTGGAGTTCTGGGTTGCTTTTAATTATATCATCTTTCTCAACATGATCTTTAAAATATTTTTCTGTCATAAGGCGAAAACGAATACAATCAAACACTTCGCTAAGGTTCTTAACCCTGTTTTCTTTGTCTGTTCGCACCCATTTCATCACTGCCTCAAATACTGCTTCTTCCTTTTCTACATTTAGGCTGTCATTTGAAATTACTGAGATCAGTTCCTGTGGAGATAGCTGCATAAAGTCCTCTTCCTTGCAAATCTGTACAAAGCGATCAGACACAAATTCACGGGCAGAGATGGCGAGTCTTGGGCAGTCGAGAAGAAGTCCTAACCTTAAGATGGCTAGACAGTTACCAGGAGCAAGTCTCTTCTGAAGATAAGAAACACAGACAGTGAACACCGAAGGGATCTGAAAGCGGCTGGCCAGGGCAAAAATATCCTGCACGTTTCCATCGTTGAGGTCGATACTGGCAGAGTACAGGTACTTGATGATCAAATCCAGCACAGCAGGATCCACATTATCTAACACGACTTCCTTTTTTTTCCCCTCATCAATTTCAGATAAAAAATACTCACGGAAGTAAGGACTACAAGCTGACAAAATCAATCTGTGGCAAGGAAGACTTTTGTCACCTGCTTTTAGGGTGCAATCGATGAATTTTTTTTCTTCCAGGAGATCTTTCAGACCGTCCTGAAGAAGGGTGGATTGGTAAAGCCGCAGTTCCTCTGTGAGTTCCCGCTGAGAATCCATTTTGTGAGTAACCTGGGTAAGGAAGGGGACACTGAAGGCCTTAGCTCCTTGCAGCACACAAGTCTAGCTGTAAAAAGGCAGATCGGTGTGCTTTGCCCAGCTTGAAGCCTTTGCAATTTAATCCCACCAGCTAAATATAGATACCAACTCTAACAACGGGAATTCAGGAGAGCTAGTTTGGAAAGAAGAGTTGTTCCTGCAGCTGTTATAGATTGAAGGGAACAACTGGAACTTTCAATCACTAAGGAAACAGCTAAGAAACAAGCCATTTAAATGAAGTGGGAAGCTTTTACATAAAGCATTAGAACATAGGCCCATAAAGACATGTTTAAAGAAAGTGTTTATTGAACTGACAGAAAACTGAATCATAAAAATGAGTCAGTCCGCTAAAAATGGTCTAGTGGCAAACTCCTTGGCTGTCTGAATGAATGATGCAAAGGTCAAGAATATGAGGTGAGTTCATTTGAATACTCATAAGCAAAATCCCTTTTCCAATTACTGTTACATAAAAATTTTTATTTTCTAGTCAAAACAGTGGTATTTACAATTTTCTTTTTGAAGTAGGAAACTTAAAGACTTCTATTTATGTACTAGTAATATAATTAAAAAAACCCTTTAATAACAATATCTCGTCATAATTGAAGTAATAAACGCAGAGAAACTGCTACTTTTCTAACATTCTAAATTACCCTTTTAAGTGGAAAAACTGTAATTAGTATTGAATTACATTACAAAATTATTTGTTATTCAGACCCTGCTTTTCTCTACAAAGGATCTGATGTGGCAAACAATTATAACACAAGTAGGATAAATGCATAAGGTTAAAATGAAACAAGTTCAGAAAGAAATAGGAATAGTTAAGAGTCAACACTAGGTAAAGAAAAAAATCACATGATTACTAAAAATACTCTGTGATTTAAGTGTTGAAAATAAAAAAAAATTAAATAAAAAGTTAAAAATACAGAACAGATGTAACTCCACGAAAACAATGCTATCAACAGGGGCGCCTGGGTGGCTCAGTCATTAAGCGCCTGCCTTGGGCTCAGGTCATGATCCCAGGGTGCTGGGATTGAGCCCTGCATCAGGCTCCCTGCTTGGCAGGAAGCCTGCTTCTCCCTTTCCCACTCCCCCTGCCTGTGTTCCCTCTCTTGCTGTATGTCTCTCTGTCAAATAAATAAAGTCTTAAGCAAACAAACAAAACAATGTTGTCAACAGAACACAGCAAAATCAGGAAGAAGTGCTGTATCACCTGCATAATTTGGAAAACAAGCCTATTCAAGGGAAAAAAAAGAGTAACTGAAATCATAATCTAAGTTGTTGATTGTAATAGTACACCCTATTAATTACAGAATGCAGAAGTCATGATTTGAAAAAACGTCAATCTTTTTTGTTTATATGCAGATGACATCATATATACCTCTTCATGAATTATTACGAAATTTTTACTGTCACATTTTCTGAACTCAATGGGACTGCAGAAAATACTGTATAATTTCAAAGTCTAGTATTCTTAAACCTGCTCAAAAGAATATAAGCTCCCTGAAGACAGGAAATTTTTTTTTTTTTAATTTGCTCAATGCTATAGCCCTAGGGCCTCATGTGCTCTGTAAATACTTGTCAAATGAATAAATGTCCCTAGATCAGTGAATTGTGTATTTTTAAACTTCAAGGTCTCTATGAGTAAAGGTTTTTTTCTTTTATTTTACATCACAGTGAAGTCAAAGGTACTGTCAGCTGCTAAAACAACAGCTGAAAGAAGAGCTCATTGACTCTTTTTTCCATTTATAGATGTCACTAAAGGTTTTAACACACTAGAAGAAACTAACAGCTGCTCCCTTGATTAAACAATAAATGACTCATTTCTCTACTCTGTTAACAACTAACATTTGAAAAGATTAGTGAGTCAGATGTGAACACCATGATATGACATTTGAGATTCCTTACTAGTCAGCAATTATAAAGTCTGTTTTGCTTCGAAAACTATTTAAACATATTCCTGGCAGCATTTTGTGACCTGTGTAAAAATTTCGAACAGCCCCTTTTCCCCCTTGATGTAGGTTGTTTATTATAACTCTATCTCTTAAAAATGTACAACTCCTTTCCTTTTTAAATAAAGAAACCAATGTATAGCTTTTATTCCTTGACTTTAGTTAAACTCAGATAGCACTTAGTTAACATTTGGTTACTATGTGTTTATGGTTGTACATACAGTTGCATCTTATTTCGTTAAGTTTTTACACACTCACTCCTTTCCCTCTAGAGAAAGAGGGCTCCTTTGGTTAATTTCAATGATTTGACAAAGGCTCCTTACAATTTTTTTTTTAATATCAAAGCAGTAGCAAAAAGCAGGATGCCAGAGAAGTTGCCAAATTGTAGCTAACCAAAATATCGGAGAATATCCTATTTGAAAACTTCAAAGAGGTTTTTCAATGAGTACATACAAGGAGAAAGTCAATTTATTTACAAACAACTTATTTATTTACAAACAATTTATTTACAAACTATTTAAAACTATTTCCTTAAAAAATAAATGTATTCTTGCCAATACTATATTAAAATTACTTATAAGATAGTGCCCAAAACATTACTTAGGGGTTGATATCCTCTATAGTTAACTATAATTTTTAGGTTTTACAGAAATGGTCACTTACACATGACAAGTTTAAGGGTTATGATTTATATTAGAGTTGGCTTACATTTGGAGCTATTTGATAATTTATTTAAACCAGACTTTTATAATCAAAAAGGCAGTACTTTGATTACTTCATAAGAATAGTCTTATTCTTTTAAATAATACTTTCAAAACATTAAATGGTGCTGCATAAATTCTTTATTAAACCCAACATGATACAGTCATTTAATATCTGCAGACTAATAATTTACAAGCATTAGGTACAAAATAAACATATTTACAAACCAGATACATTTTGATTACAATTTTAAATACAATTTTTAGAAAAATGGCAATAAAATCTTAGATAAATGAGTTTTTCCTTAATCATTAAAAAACTCTTTTTTAAAGGCTTTTTCTGTAGAAGTAAAAACTATTCCATGCCTTATAGCAGGCAACTAAGTATCTTTAATCTTGAGATATCTTTAAATAGAAATCCAGCTCAACTCAAGATCAACTCATTACTTCCCAAAGTCCCTGTAGGGTGAATCCATCCTTCAATTTCTCTATTGCAAGCCCCAGTTCTTCTGAAAATACAGGTTCACGATCTTGTTGCTTTTTGGGAGATAAGAGGATAAGATGGGAATAGAGAAGATGGGCAAGGAAGAGGAAAAAAACAAGAAATAGGTTTCACATAAGTTTTGTGAATACTAAATGTTAGAATATAGAAAGTTTTTTTTCAAATATTATAGATAAAATGTCCTTACCTTATTGCCATCAGCAAAATAAGCCTAGAAGACAAAGAAAATTCTATTTCACATACGTGACATGTAACAGGTCAGTGAACTAAGGAACAGGTAATTAATTTACAGAACAATTGTGTAACTAAATGTATTTTACATTCTGTTACTGTATGTCTAATGGTCTTCTCACCTATCTTTACTATGGTAGTAGCAGAGTTCACTTCTGTTAATCATTAGTATAAACTACAAGAGTTATGTTTTGAGCTCCAAAAAATGTATTTTGTAATTTAGTATACAATTAGCATGGTTAACTTGAAAGGAGATAAAAAGAATGACTTAGAAGCTATAAAATTTCATCCCTACTTTTGGTTTAGGAGAAGGTGCTGGCAAAACAAAACAAAGCAATCAGTGCTTCAATGTGTCAGCAAATGCTGTAGTTTATAATTAAGTATTTTATACTAATTTCACACTTGTTTAAAAATATGTGTTCCCAGAGAGGTAGCTGGTCAGATTCATACATTACACTATATATAAAGCATTAGTATTATTTTGGCTATGAAATCATACAAATTTGGAAATAGGAAAGCTCATAGTTCAAATATAGTTTTTAATATAATATACCAAATAAGGTGAAAGGAAGTCAATCTTGTAAAGATTAATAATGAAAAATATATTTTACATTAATTTAATTAATTATTTAACCTGTTCTATTATTCTAAGGTATGAAAAAATTTTCACAGATCTGAAATCCTCTGAAAAATAGTGTTCTCAAACTATTTCCCAGTTTGGTAATTTAAAAGTAATTTCAAGCAAAGAAAAAATCCTTAACTTAAAAAAAAATTACTTTCTAACTCATGTTTAAGATAACTCTCAAGTTCTATGGTGTTTTATACACTTAAGCCATTACTTAAACATGACTGAGATTTTAAAAAAATCATAAGAAATTTAGTAGCTCGGGACGCCTGGGTGGCTCAGTGGGTTGAAGCCTCTGCCTTCGGCTCAGGTCATGATCCCGGAGTCCTGGGATCGAGCCCCGCGTCGGGCTCTCTGCTCAGCAGGGGGCCTGCTTCTTCCTCTCTCTCTGCCTGCCTCTCTGCCTACTTGTGATCTCTGTCTGTCAAATAAATAAATAAAATCTTCAAAAAAAAAAAAAGAAATTTAGTAGCTCTTCTTTGTCATGCTCACCACAAAAGCATCCGTGTGATCATCAGAGTCTATTTCTACATCATCTTGAATCTGTTCAACTGTCAGAGCTTCAAGGGGCTGTGGCTAAAAATCAGTAGATATTAAAATGCACCAAGGAAAAAAAGACATTGAGGAGACAATATTAATTAAACAACTAATTTTAATAAAATGTGCTGTGAGAATTGTAAATACTTGTTAATGGGTAAAACAACTGAAAACTATTCAAGTCTTAGAAAAATCATTGTATAATTTATATTTTACTAAAACTAACTTGAGTAATAAATCAGTTAAACCTAAGCTTTTAAATCTGAAGTATCATCAAAAGTATTAATATGACAAATTTATACAAACTTAATACGATACTTAGAGATATCCTTAAAGAAAAACTCTCAATGGACTTAATCTGATTTTCTTTCACACAGTTTAAAATAACTAAGTTTGGATATAGCAAATTTTCAATTTTCTTCAAAACAGTCATTAAATAGAACTCGTGAAAAGTAAAAGAACTAAGAGTTGCACGGAATATTCCAATGGTAAAGCAGAATAAAATGTGGTACCAATATTAATTCATTTTTCAAATGTTTTAGTATTTTTGGTGTGTTAGGCACTATGCTAACACTACCAAGTAAAAAGTCCCTGTCCCTACCCACAAAAGGTTTGTAATCTAGTGGGGGTGGAGAAAGAATAAAACACAATTACAGATAACTAAATATTAGGTTGGAACATATGAAATTACCATTTTTGTTAGTAAAAAATGATCAAATATTAGTATCATACAGTTCAACCTATGAATAGCAGTTGTAACGAATGTACTATCCATTATAAGAGAAAGGTTTAGAGACAGCACAACTTCTGGATTGTAAATCCCAGAAACTTTCACGAAGAAAAGAATGGCATGTAATCAATCTAGGCCTTTTAGAATGAGGATGACTTCCATAGGTAGGATTAGGGGAAAAGGTATTTCTGCCAGAGACCAGCATCAGCAAAGGAGAGAAACCACAGTATGTGGCTGAAGAATGATGAATAATCCAGTATGGTCAGAACAGAAGAGTCCCATGAGACAGAAGAAGCTATGCAGGGCTACTGTACTGAACAATCCCAAGGAGCATCATTCACACTAAAGTCTGTGTTTACTATGTTCTCATAGCTGAGCAGTGCACAGCCTGCACAACCAGACACTGTGGCTGTGCAGATAAGGTAGAAAATGTAGGCTGGTGTCCACTGAAATTCTTTAATACCAGCCCAAAGAATTCAGACTTTATCTATAGGTAATTGGTGGGAGGGTGTAGAGGGTAGAAGTATAGTGCTCAACAAAAGTGTCCTGACCCGCTGATCTGAGGATAGCCTCAAGTGTTTCAACTGCATTCAGAGTTGTGTGACAAGTTTTGTGTACAAGTAACTTAACCTAGCTAAGCCTCCGTCTCCATAACTGTGAGATAAGGATAATAATAATGTTATACTTCATAGTACTGTTGGGAGGACTAAATGAGATAGATGATGCATACGAAGCTCTTAGAGCAGTGAGTGGAAACAACAGGTGTTCAATGCAGTCATTCAACATCTATGAATATTCACTAAAGCGCCTATTATGTGCTAGTTCTAATTGCTGGAAATATAGGGTTAAAGATAGTAGATGAAAACCCCTGACTTCATGGAGATTATTTATAGTGGAGAAGACTTATGAGTGTTATCAAAAACAAAGCAAGCAAGCAAACAGGGATAAGGAACAGTAAAATGATGGAGGCTGCTATTTTATATGGTGCTCAGGGAAGACCTCCCCGAAGAGGTGGCTTTGCGTAGGGACTTACAGGAGATGACAGAGTGGGTTATTATGGCCGCTATTATTACATACTAGGGGCCAAAAAAGAAAAGAAATGAAAGGTAGAGAGAGAATGGGTAGGAGAACTAACATACTGAGTATCTCATGTGCCAGGAATTTCATGGATATGATTCATAAATTTGTGAGACAGATGATCTTCATTTAAAAAAAAATTTTTTTAAGATTTTATTTCTTTATTTGAGTGAGAGAGAGAGGGAGTGAGAGAGCATGAGCAGAGGGAAGGGCAGAGGGAGAGGGAGAAATAGACTCCTTCCTGAGCAGGGAGCCCAATACATGTCTCGATCCCAGGACCCTGGGATCATGACCTGAGCTGAAGGCAGACGCTTAACCGACTGAACCACCTGGACACCCAGATTATCTTCATTTTATAATGAGAAAATTGAAGCTCAAATCTACCTAGAATCACAAATAAATGGTGAAATTGGGACTAAAGTCAGGTTTGCCAGGTTCCAAGAACCAGGTATGTTCTACAATATTATTATGCAAGCAAGAGTAATAATGGTAATTGTGGTTTGAGTGAAAAGAAAGGGATAGGAAAAGGGAGGAGACATTCATGATTGAATGTATAAAATAAGACAATCAGGAAAATAAAAAATGAAATCTCTGAGGTTCTGAGCACAGCTGACTTTGCCAATGCTAAAAATAAATAAGTAGAAAATAAATATATCAGTAGGATGGCGCTTTTGAGAAAAATGACAGCATTTTAAGTATGCCACGTTTGAGATACTCAAATCCCAGTGTATCTTACAGATTTGGAAAATTATTTACTTAATTAAATTACTAGGACAAACTTTTAAGTGCGAAATTCAATTTATGTTGTTTGGAATGCTCATTTATGTGAAAATATTCAAGAATATTTAGAACCATGGTCATCTGAGAGAATGTGTCAAGATCAAAATAAAGTGGGAGTCATCTACAGAAGTTTAAATTGAGGGGCTCCTGGGTGGCTCAGTCATTAAGCGTCTGCCTTTGGCTTGGGTCATGATCCCGGAGTCCTGGGATCGAGCCCCGCACTGGGCTCCCTGCTCCAAGGGAAGCCTGCTTCTCCCTCTCCCTCTCCCCCTGTTTGTGTTCCCTCTCTCACTATGTCTCTCTCTGTCAAATAAATAAATAAAATCTTAAAAAAAAAAAGTATAGGTTGAGGAAACTGGAAGAGGGCTGATATTCCTGAAGAATATACAGAGAAGGCAGAATGAAAGGGAGAGTGTTGAAAGAAATGCAAGTTGGGAGGAAAACAGAAAAGGATGATTAAAGATGTGAAAAACATGAGTGTATGTCTAATACAGTGTCAGCAACCCAAAGAGATATTTCAGCTTGAAGGGAAGGGGGATATACAGAGAATATTGCAGGAAGAGAAAAAAACTAGCGAGGAGTGCTACCATGCAATAAGGGTCTGTTTGAAGTTAGAGGGTGTGAATTTGAATTTAGCTGTCCAGCCCTACTTCTTGATCTTCTCGGGTCACATGCTGCAGTCTAAGAGCAGAAGAGATATAGATAATATATGTGCTATGTGATAGGGCTCAACATGCTGAGCGCCAGCAGGGATGCTGTTGAAAGAGTGGGTGGCAAGGGCACCATCATAGCGTACAGTGAGGGTGCCGGTAAAAGAACAGACAGCAAGGGAACCTGAGATAAGAGTGGTCAGTGAGGCCACCCGAGACAGAACCTCTGGCCAGAGTACCGCTGATAGAGCAGATAGAGTGGAGTGGCTGGTGAGGACACCAGTGACACACCAGATGACAAGTGTTCCAGCTGGAGAGGCTGAAAAGTAAAGTCAAAGGAGAGCTGAGGGACTTGGGAGAACAGGGTGGGTTTGGTGTCTGTGAGGCCTGTAAGGTTTGCCCAAATGCTAATGGGAGGCAGAAGTGGAAAAAAAATAAAACAGTGAAAGACTGAAGTCTGTCTACATCACAGGAGCCTTGCACATGGACATTTCTCTGGATCAGCTGCTCACCTAAAAGGGCAGGAATGAATGACGAAGCAGCCAGTGAGAAGATAGGCAGATGGCACAAATTAGTGATGGCCAAGGGGTCATGCTCTCTGAGCAGAGTCTGTATATCCATCATTTTAAACATAGTTCAAACTTAAATTGTTCACAATGTGTTTATATCTGTATTTTATAGACTGTGTGAAAGCAATTCAGCAAACATAGTGAACAAATTACCTTTTCTTCCATCTCATAATCCACTCCAAATATAGGACTGGCAGAATAGACTTTGTGAAGTGAATTGATTTCCTTAACTGATTCTTGTAGTTTTTCCACAGGATCTATTTTAAAGCCAAGAACATATCCTCCACTCTGTAAGAAAAAATAATGAAAAAACAAAAAACAAGCTTGAGGAATAGGTATTTATACTATATGATAAACTATACCCCATTGTCTAATGTTATTTCAGAGCTCCATACGTAAATTGATTTTTTTAATTAAAATTTTTATAATGAAAAACAAAGCATATACAAAAATAGAAAAAAAAAAAAGGTACAGTAAGTGTCCATGTAGCCATCAACCAGCTTCAATAAGTAGCAACATATGGCCAACTCTCTTCCATCTTTAATCTCCCCTTTCCCCAAATCTCCTTCCCTTACCCACTTAGGATTATTTTGAAGCATATCCAGATATCATATCATTTCTATATACAAATATCAAAGATGAGATTTTAAGATTTAAGAAAATACACTATAGATTGTAAAGGCCAATGGAACTAAGTTTTTCTTGAGCTAGACCTTGAAAAGGAAAAGACCATATATCAGAAGAAAGGGAATGGTCCAACTGAGGCTAATTCCTTGAAGAATTAGGAAAGAAACCTTAACACGACAGGTTGTTGTTGAAAACTGTTAAAAAAATTAAGTAGCAAAAAAAAAAAATTAAGTAGTATACTGTAAACGGTGAGAGCATATGCTTTAGGTTGAGAGCATATACTTTTGAGTTTAAATTCAGGTTTTACAACAAATTTGCCAGCTATATGATGCTGGGAAACATACTTTTCTTAGTCTTTTAAGCCTCAATTTTCTTTTTTTAAAATAAATTTATTTATTTATTTATTTATTTATTTATTTATGTTCAGTTAGCTGACATATAGTACATCATTAGTTCTTTTTTTAATGGTCTTCTGTGTGTTTCCTTCCTTCTTTTTTTTTTTTAAATTAACATATAATGTATTATTTGCTTCAAGGGTACAGGTCTGTGAATCATCAGACTTACACAATTCACAGCATTCACTATAGCACATACCCTCTCCAATGTTCATAACCCAGCCTCCCCACCCCTCAACAACCCTCAGTTTGTTTCCTGAGATTAAGAGTCTCTTATGGTTTGTCTCCCTCCCAATTCCATCTTGTTTCATTTTTTTCCCTCCCTATCCCCAACAACTCCCCGCCCTGCCTCTGAAATTCCGCATATCAGAGAGATCATATACATCATTAGTTTTTGATGTAGTGTTCAATGATCCATTAGTTGTGTATAACACCCAGTGCTCATCACACCATGTGCCCTCCTTCATACCCATCACCTGGCCACCCCATCCAAGCCTCAATTTTCTAACCATAAAACAGTTATCAAGTTGTTATATTAAATAAAATAATGTACACATGATATTTGTACAGTTCCTGGAACATAGTAAGCACTCAGTAAATGGAAGCTACAAATCTGCAGGCCAGGGGAAAGGAGTGAGTAGACATTCATATTTACAGTTAGAATTTAGAAGAGCACTGATTTTACAAATAGGTATATGTTTTATTTAATTGTATTTCTGCAAAGATCTGGCCTAATGGGGCACAGGAATTATAATTAGATATAGTATAAACTGTATGTGAGAGTATAAAATCTCAAACAGGGTGCATGTGTGTGTATATTTGTATTTATCTGTGTTTCTCATTGATATTCTTGTGAGTCAGTCAGACCTGAGTCAAAACCTATCCCCACCAGTTTTCAGTTGAGAGACTGTGGGCAAGGTTCCTAACTTCTCCAAGCCTCAGTTTCCTTGAATGTAAAATGGGGAAAAATAGTAACTGTATCATAGGGTTGTGTAAAGATTGAAGGAATGCATAAAAAGTACAGTGACTTAACTCTGTCACTAAGAATAATAATCATAATGATAATAATGGTTATGTCTGTCCAACAAGGAAACATGAAACAATTTTTCCTATGAGTACAATTACTATACAACTTTAAACTCTATTCAACATGTTATAGCTAATATTCTTCTTGAATGTACACTGGTTACTATATAAATAAAACAAAATATATAGACTGTCACATAGTTTAAAAAATCAATTAAAGATTAATATGGATATATAATATCTTACCTGCTGAGAACTTTCTATGACAAGAGCTAAACCAAATTTTGAATCTCTAATCTTTATGGAACGCTAGATGTAAAATGGAAAAGAAGAAAATGCATACTTTTATTACCTGATAGTAGTGATTCTTTAGCACAAACAAATTTTTCAACTTCTACACAGTAACTGCTTTTCATAATCTAAAGAACAGAATTCTCCCTCTTTCCTTCATTATATTCCCACAGAGATCAAGTAAATGAAAATGTTCATACTAGAACTAGCCAGCAGACTTGTAAGGAAATACGAAGGAGACAATATGCACAAAATTATCTGACTCAAATATCCCCCACAATCAGGGAGTGTACAAATTTTCTGAGTATTTTAAACCAAAGGCCAGCAATCTTTTAGTACTAGAGAGCCAGTGTTTTGAGTGGTTCCCAAGGCTGGGTTAGTTTTTAAAAGTCACATGAATATGACTGTCCTAGTGACAGACTGTGATGATATCAGATTGCAAGTTGTTTGGACAAAGCTGAATTCATTCCAGAGGCCATACTTGGGAACTGTATTCTTAAAGATTTTTTTTTTTTTTTTTTTTTTTAATTTATCAGAGAGAGAGAGGGAGAGCGAGCGAGCACAGGCAGACAGAATGGCAGGCAGAGGCAGAGGGAGAAGCAGGCTCCCTGCAGAGCAAGGAGCCCGATGTGGGACTCGATCCCAGGACGCTGGGATCATGACCTGAGCCGAAGGCAGCTGCTTAACCAACTGAGCCACCCAGGCGTCCCGGGAACTGTATTCTTAAATAACAAAAAGCATCTATCTGAAGAATAAAAAGCACAAGGTTGTTTACTACTCAGTAATTTTGTAATATAATAGAGATTAGGTCAGATGAGCTGTAACACATGTAAACCATATAAAACAGCAATGGACAATACAAACCCCAGTTTATCAAATACCTATGTAGATTCTATTATATCTTCCCAGCCACAATTATAAATTCTTGTATTTCTTTGGATGGCCAGAAATTATTTTTTTCCTACCAGATTCTATGATTTTCTGTTTAATCTCTATCAGACTGAAACCTTGATGACAGGAACTGTGTACTGGTTCATAATTCTCACAAATGTATTGCTGGCACCTAGCATAGCATAGGTGCTAAATATTTGGCAAATGAATGACCTGATATTTTAAAGTAACTCAAAAATCAAACAATTCAGCAAACAATAGGCTTGGGAATAGTTAGCAAAGAATCATCCTTCTTGTAAACAAGGAAATCTTTTTAAAAATGACATCTTCCAGACATCACATACATTGTGTCTATTCAATAAATATTTTTTAATGAAACTGCTCAGTATTAAGACTACTCATATCCCGCAATAAGTGTAATTATCATAGGAAAATCACACAGGATTTTCATTAACTATTTTTATGTTCCATCTAATTTGCACTAGAGTCCTATAAGTAATTTCCTTATGTAAAATGAAATACTTCGATTTATTGGAGTTTACTATTTGTTTCACTGAATCACACAGTAGCAGCAGCAGAAGAGATAAAAAGAACCACCTTTATTCTCAAAACAAATTGGTCTCAGATAGTTAGTTCCTATTCTGGATTTTAACAGCTTTAGTTGAACTTAAGCTAAAATCATTATTACTGGGCACCTGGGTGGCTCAGTGGGTTAAACCTCTGCCTTCGGCTTAGGTCATGATCTCAGGGTCCTGGGACTGAGCCCTGCATTATTGGGCTCTCTGCTTGGCAGGGAGCCTACTTCCTCCTCTCTCTCTCTCTCTCTGACTACTTGTGATCTCTCTCCGTCAAATAAATAAATAAAATCTTTAAAAAAATCATTATTACTAAAAACCATCTTAATTCCTTTCACCAAAACTGTAGTATGAATCCAGCTTGTATTACATGCTGTATCTGAATACAGTGAAAACAATTCATTCACAGAATTAAAGAATTCCTTCTGGCTTTAAAAGCAAAGTGTCAAGAGAGCCAAAACAATGTGTGTGGATCAGTGTGCTGAAGCCAAGCAAAGAACCACTGTATACATGCCTCATGAAAAGGTTATGGAAAACTGTAGTAGCTAATGTCCTCTGACTGGAATCTAAGAAGGATACATCTTAAAAAGAAAGAAAGAAAGAAAGAAAGAAAGAAAGAAAGAAAGAAAGTAAGTAAAGGAAAAGGAAGAAGAGAGATACATTTTAATCTGCATAGCGACTATTTTTTTTTTAAAGATTTTATTTATTTACTGGACAGTGAGAGAGAAAACAAGCAAGAGGCAGCAGAGGGAGAGGGAGAAACAGGATCTGCATTAAGCAGAGAGCCCAATGTGAGACTTGATCCCAAGACCCTGGGACTATGAACCTGTGCTGAAGGCAGACGCTTAACTGACTTAGCCACCCAAGTGCCCCTGTATGGTGACTATTTAAAATTTTTAAGTCCAGTATATTTTTCTCTTAATAGCAAGTTTATAATGGTGGGGCATCCCTTGAATATAAGTACTGTTGGGTCTTTTCTTTGTTGAAACTGTAAATTATCAACATTTTAAAAGTCTGCTGTCAGCTATACTGCTGCCACTGAAAAAGAGGGAGACAATTCATCTAGTCTTGAAAGTTCCATTAACTAATGAACAGAAATTATTTATTCTACATTAAAATAAGATCACCAAAATGCATGCACTTACAATTTGTAGATATGGTATGCTGACGTTAAAACTGTCATTCATATTTGCATGCCACACAATTCTCACGTTGGTAATAAAAAAGGTTCCTAAATTTCCCTGTAAAAGATAAGAGATACACGAATGACCATTTGTTTGAATACTTACTCTTTATTTTCTAAACACTGGGATAATTCTAATTATCACAGTAGCAGAGAATACCAGAATTGAGTATCATGGAGTATCAATGACTTCATTATTCACTGGATTGAAGAACAATTAGCTGACTGAGGGCCTGGATTCTGAAGTTAGACTATAATCATTATGACATCAGTACTTACCAGTTGCCTGACCATGGGCAAAAATTTGTTCTTGGTGCATTGTGTCAAATGTAAAGTGGAAATTTAATTAAATAACCCCTATAAATAAAGCCCTTATCACAATGCCTGACACATAGTAAGCATTCTGCAAGTGTTAGATCTTATTACAGCTATTGTTGAAAACGTGGGATTAAGTTAAGACAAGGAAGTTGTGGTAAGAGAAAGACAAAACATATGTGATAACTTCCATTAGTCCACCAGAGATGTTTTATGGCTCTGCAACACTAACTATGAATCAAAACTGTTTTCCAATTATATAGCCCCTCAACATTTACTCATAATTACTCTAGTATGGTAACTAAATGGTCTAAAAAAACTTTAATACCTAGTACATGGCACCAAAATTAGCCACCTCTATCATTTATCCATATCATTATCCACCTCCATTTCTACCTCCTCCCCACCATATACTCCCAGAGGAATTTATTTTATACGTTGAGCTTGGGCATAAAATATTAACTTACAAACCCAAAACCTGGGATGACCAGGCTTGAAACATCAGAAAAGACCAAATATTTCTTAATTATAATTAAGTTAATAAACATATATGTAAGTATATAGATTTCCCTCCTCTATTCTCATCTTGCAAAAAATTGTTATACAAAGAATTTTAGCCCCCTTATTCCTGGCCAACATCCCATTAAACAGTACTAAGTCTAACTTTATAAAGAATAATTATTTATGTCATTCTTTCCTCTTATTTTAGAAGAGAGCAACTTGCAAAACTCCTAAGGATTTTTTAAATAAAAGAATAGGAAGGCATATTTTATATTTAATAAACAGAAGTTAGGTTAACAATAACATTCCTATTTTCAGTAAAATATTTCTGATAATCCTGAGCATCTTAATTAATCAATTTAAAATGCCAGGTGCGGTGCTAGATGGTAAAGATTTAACTATGAACAGAGTGATTCCACTCCTACCCTTATAAAGCCTACAGTCTAATGCCGGGGAACAGACAGGCTCTATATTTTAGATCAGGAACAATTTAAAGTAGTAATTAAGTACAGATTGCATAAGCAACACACAGAAGGAAGCCTTATAGAAAGCAACTTCTAAGCTATGACCTAAAGTAGGGATGTGTAAACTATGGTTTGTGGGACAAATCTGGCCTCTCGCCTCATTTTGTATGGCCCACGAGCCAAGAAGCCAAGTTTCTTGGCCCCACAAACCAAATTTTAGATTTTTAAATAGCTAGAAAAAAGTCAAAAGAATAATACTTCATGATACATGAATACTGTATGAAACTCAAATTTCAGGATCCATAACAAAAGTTTTTTTGAAACATAGCCATGCTCATTTGTTGTCTATGGCTGGCTTCACACTACAATGGCAAGTCTGAGAAGTTATGACAGAAATGGTATGACCTGCAAAGCCTAAAATATTCACCATCTGGCCCGTCAGAGTAAAAAGCTTGCTAATTCCTGATGAGGACTTATACAGATGTAGAGCTGGCTATTTACTACAGAACCATCATCAGAGTTTAAAACTAGAACTTTTCAAATGAGCAAAATTTATTTACAACTTAAGTTTATGATACAATGTTTAGCAAGAAGTTCTTCATTCAAATGCTATAACTTTACCCCAGTGGTTATCGGTCTAACCGAAGAAAATATTCTTACATAAGAGAAAATTTTTCTTTAGAAATTGATGTGTTACTTACTCCAACTTAGATGTTTTAAATGGTCATAACTTCAAGAGCAAATGAGAAGTCATGATAACGGATACAGGAATCACCAAATGAGTTATACATTTAATTCCATAAGGATCAGATTTTCTTTTTTTTTGAAGATTTTATTTTTTTATTATTATTTTTAAAAATTTTATTTATTTGACAGAGAGAGAGAGATCACAAGTAGGCAGAGAGGCAGGCAGAGGAAGAGGGGAAGCATGCTCCCTACTGAGCAGAGAGCCCGATGAGGGGCTCGATCCCAGGACCCCGAGATCATGACCTGAGCTGAAGGCAGAGGCTTAACCCACTGAGCCACTGAGGCGCCCCTAAAGATTTTATTTTTAAGTAATCTCTACACCCAAACATGGGGTTTGAACTAACAACCCTGAGATCAAGAGTCGCATGCTCTTCCAACCAGCCAGCCAGGCGCCCCCAAAAGGCCAGACTAAAAGTCTTCCATGACTGTCCACCTCATGACTATCCTCCATCAGTGTAAGTTATCAAGATGATGAGAGTAGTGCAGCATGCGAAGAACATAGTTCTCAGATGAACTAGATGTGTGAAGTCACTTAATTCTTTGGGGCCTGAGTTTTTGATCGATAAGTGAATGGAGACTGAACTAGATAATCTATAATCTAGCTATAAGTTCTAGGTATAACAAATGTCGCTAAAAAGAACACAAAACCATAAAAATATGAAAATCAGAAAATTATTTTATAAGAAGAGCTACAACACTAATTTATCAGGAGATATAATGCTAATTTTAATAGAATTAAGTGAATATTCAAACTCAATGACAAATAGGAAAATGATTACCAAAGCACTGACCCAAAAGGTTCATTAGCTTTTCGCACAATACCTGATCACTGGATAAATTCCATACTCCATTGACTTTATCATATACATGTTCTTGTGGTAATAATCGTAGTTGCTTATTTTGAATTAGTGCACTTCTCAATTTAAAATCACGATACATTTTAGAAGTTTCATATGCTCTATAAAAAAGAACAAAGACCAACCCAAACTGAAAATGTGATTTTCCTAGGTTATGTTTACTTATCTACCAAAATATACAATTGTTAATACTTATGTATATCATTCAAATAATTATAACAAATTTAAAAATTTACTTTTCAATAAATTTTGGTGTCACAGTTTTTTATAGACTATCATTTTAGTGTAGTATTTACATATTTTATCTCAGTACCTGTTTTTAGAGGTCTAATTTTTTTTTAAAGATTTTAGTTATTTATTTGACAGAGAGAGATACAGCGAGAGAAGGAGTAGGAAAGGGAGAAGCAGGCCTCCCGCCAAGCAGGGAGCCCTATGTGGGACTTGATCCCAGAATCCTGGGATCATGGCCTGAGCTGAAGGAAGACGCTTAACAACTGAGCCACCCAGGCGCCCCTAGAGGTCTAATTTTTAAGACAACATGTATCATATAGCACATATGAGAGAAAACATTTTCTCTTTAAGCTGAAAAACAATGCTTTTGTATAATAGACTTGGAAATTATTTTTCCCTATCAAAATCATTCTCTCCATTTCTGTATTAGTCAAAGGCACCTTTTAGTCAAAGGCACAATTGGGAGTCCAGTTAATTTTCTCATTGCAACCGCAAATATGCTCACAGCTACCTCTATAGGTATTCTAAGAAAATTGGAATAAATCTGTACCAATCACAAAAGGGACCCTAGAACAGTGTGTATGCATGTGCAAGTGTTTGTGTGAGTGTGTGTGTACATTTATATATATATATAAAATCCCTCTTTGTTTTCTCTCCATGCCTTCCTATTAATAAATAGTACTGAAGAAAGTTCTGTATTTCAGAACTTTCTCCAGTATTTATTATTAGTTTTGATTAGTTTTTTTAAAGATTTACTCATTTGAGAGAGAGCACACACAAGCAGGAGAGGGGCAGAGGGAGAGGAAGAAGGAGAAGAATAGAGAGAATCTCAAGCAGATTTCCTGATGAGTATGAAGCCCCATCATGGGGCTCAGTCTCACAACCCTGAGCCAGAAACAAGAATAGGGATGCTTAACTGAGCCACCCAGGTGCCTCTGATTAGTTTTATTATAAGTTTTTGGATTAGTTTTATTATAACATTTGATTGATTATAATTTTACCCTACAAAATTATAGGCTAATTTACTCATTTAATAAGACTAAAGAATTTTCTTAGCCTGAATAACTTTAAATGTCATTTATATAAATCATAATATTCATTGTTAAACTTGTCATTTCAACTTTAATTGAGCTAATATATAAATTGTGAAAGAAGAAGATTTGAGCATTTGCCTATAAATCTTAATTTCCTTTAGTGCTGTAATCATCGTTTAACCAGTGGACAAAATGGAAACTATTTGTGCTGTGAGTTACTTGTGGGGGAACACTCGTTTTTATTCTATTGAAGAAAAGCAGCTTATAAGCTCCTTTCATACTTCTCTTCATATTATATTTCTAAGTAAAGTAAAATAAAGAGCTAAGGTTTAGAAATATGTCAAACACAACTGAAAAACATTCATAGTAGCTAAAAAGTGGAAACAATCCAAATGTGTATCAACAACTAGTGAGAAAACAAAATATGCTTACACAATGTAATACTATTTATAGAAAGAATGAAGTACTGATACATGCTACAACATGGATGATCAGTGAAAACACTATGTGTGTGAAATAAGTCAGCTATAAAAGGTCAATATATTGTATGATTCCATTTATATTATAAGTCCCACATAGGCAGATCCATACAGAAAGAAAGTAAATCAGTAGTTGCCAGGAGCTATGAAGAGGACAGGATAGGGAAGGACTATGGGGACTACAGGGCTACAAGGGTTTCATTTTGGGGTGACAGAAATATTCCAGAATTGGTAGTGATACAATTTCACAAGATTGTATATGCTCTTTTTTATAGAGCATATACAATCTTGTGAAAACTAAAACTATCAAACTGTAAACCCTATTTATTTTTTAAAAAGATTTTATTTATTTGAGAGAGAGCAGAGAGAGAGAGAGCACATGAGTGGGAGGGGTGTGGTGAGAGGGGCAGATGGAGAAGCAGGCTCTCCACTGAACAGGCAGCCAGATGCCAGACTTGATCCCAGGACTCTGGGATCATGAGCCAAAGGCAGACACTTAACCAACTGAGCCACCCAGGCACCCCTCAAACTGTAAACATTAAAATGGTATTTTATACTATATGAATTATATCTCAAAAAATTTAAATGATTATATAGATTAGAAATCATCAACAAAATGAAAAATCAAATAACTAGGAAACTAAGAAATAAATTTCAACATATATGACAGATGACGGCATAATTAAGAAATTTATAATAGAAAACTATAAATCCAAAAAAAGGAGAAAAATGTCTACATCACTAGTAATAAAGAAATACAAATTTAAAAATTAGTGTATATACTTCTCTGTGTGAGCATAAATTTGTGTATATGTATAATAGCCTGTCATCTTAGCCAAGCTTTTAAAAAATCATTGTACTTAAGGCTGGTTAAAAATAGAGAGCTAAGGTGCTCACTTCAGCAGCACATACACTAAAACTGGAATGATAACGGAGATTAGCATAGACGCCGCACAATGATGACATGCAAATTTGTGAAGTGTTCCATATTTTCTGTAGTTCCCCAACTAATTGCCACCCTTTGTAGATTCACTCAGAGGAAATGATATGAGCACAATGTGCAGCATTGAATAATTAAATTGTGATGTTTTATTAGAAAAATATTCCTGCAAAGCAATTTATGACATGTGGATTGAGGCCGAGTTTCACCCAAAAAATTATGTGCAAATATGTTGTTTATACATATCTTGGAAATGAGAAAATGTCAACTTGCATTTCCTTATAGAAAAAAAAAAAAAAAAAAAAAAAAGAGCAGGGCACCTGGGCGGCTCAGTTACTTAAGTAGCTGCCTTTGGCTCAGGTCATGACCCCGGGGTCCTGGGATAGAGCCCTGTGTTGGGCTCCTTGTTCAGCAAGGAGTCTGCTTCTCTCTCTCCCTCTGTCCTCTGTGCTCTCACTCTCTCTCAAGTAAACAAATAAAATCTCTAAAAAAAAAAAAAAAAAAAAAGCTAAGGTAGTGTAAAGAATTTAGCAAACAAATGAACAAACTGCCACAAAAGAAAACAAAACTCTTAAGGGAAAACACCCAGACATGCCTTCAACTGCTAGTAAAATAACCTTTTTTTTTCCCCTAAGGTTTACTTATTTATTTTAGAGAGAGAAAGAGAGAGAGCAGGGAATGGGGGAGGGAGGGAAAGGGAGTGAGAAACTCACGCTGACTCTGCACTGAGCACAGAGCCCTAGGTGGAGCTCATTCTTATAATCCTGAGATCATGACCTGAGCCAAAACCAAGAGCTGGAGGCTTAACTAACTGAGCCACCCAGGTTCCCCTAAAATAATCTTTTTTAATTCATTAACTGAATTATCCAACTTCGTTATCTATATTGAATGAACTCTCTGTTTCACTATAACTAGCTTGGTAGCTAATTTAATAGAATCTTCAAGTAGAAATTTTTATGAATCTTCAGTAGTCTTATGTGTTCTATAAATACTTTCAAAGTGCTTATTAAATGATAATGCAATATGTTCTATATATCTTCAGGATACTGCAATTTTCTGAGCTTGGAGGAAGATGGTACCATACTTATACACTTTACCCTACAAACTTCTAAATCATAGATTGGCCTTAAAATTATTCAATATTCTATAAAGTATTATCATACCTGTGTACTGCAATCACAGAAGTAAAAAGTCTAGGACTTCCAGGAACCAAATTTGTAAATATAAACTCAAAACGAGTACTGTTACATTTTGTTAGTATATAAAGAGCTTCAGTTTGGCCTCGTAATTTCTGTAAGGACAAATTTATTTAAAAGTTCAGATTTCAAGAGCAATTTCTCATTTACAGTGAAAGTAAGTCCAATCTCAAATATCTAATGCTTCTTCACTATATATATTTCAATAAGATTTTTCAGACTTACAGAGTTAGCAGTCCTTGTTGTAATGCTCAATATGCAGTTGTAACCGATAGCTAAAATTCAAAAGCAAAGAATTTCAAGAACATGATATAATAAACTGAACAATAAAAACCTCTGTATATAGAACTTTAAGTTTTTAAAAAATTAAATATAAAGTACAACTTTAAAAACATTTTAATATATTACTACAAATTTAAGTTAAATAATTAAAAGAACTAGAAAGTAAATTTTGCTTCTTTGCAAACATTCTTAGCTTCTCTAAGAAAGAAAGAAAGGAAGTTTGCTTCTCTAAAACCTATATATTATTATTTACTGAACATCTTAGTACCAATACCTCTAGAGAAAAAGTCTAGCTGGACAATCTAAAATAATTTTTAAAAATAAGTAAAACAAAATTTAACACAATGGAAGGTTGCACTTTTTTTTTTTTTAAAGATTTTATTTATTTATTTGAGAGAGAGACAGTGAGAGAGAGCATGAGTGAGGAGAAGGTCAGAGAGATAAGCAGACTCCCCATGGAGCTGGGGCCCCGATGTGGGACTCGATCCCAGGACTCCGGGATCATAACCTGAGCCCAAGGCAGTCGTCCAACCAACTGAGCCACCCACACATCCCGGAAGTTTGCACTTTTATTAGAATTTAGATCTCCCTTCTACTGGATTAGTTGAAACAGGTCACAGGAAGTTGTCAAAGATATGCAAAGAACAAAACCATTCAGTGTAAAAGCACTAATCTCGTGTGTGTCCAAGAGACAAAATGGACTGAAAAACCTTTCTTTGCAAAATGGTACAGTCTGTGGTTAGTCTAGGATTGCTAAAGTTTTTTTTTTTTAATCAATTTTTCTTCATATTTCATGGTACAGTTTTTTTGGTTATCAAAAGCCACTGTGCAAGTTCATCTGACAAAGTATTTTTTTTTCTTTAGTGTTATCTAACAAAGATACTTACAAAGATTGACTCTGGGTAATGCCAAAGAATGCCAGATAATTCTTAAATTTGTTACTAAGAGTCTACCTAAAAGCAAACAGACAAAAAAGTAGGTTACCTTAAGTAAGGACCCATTTTTGCAGTAGAAAGAGGTAGACATGAAACCTCTAGCTCAGGAAGAGCAGTAACCCCCACAGATGTTCTCAGACATTTATCACCTGAACATGTTTACTGCTCTTATCTATCCAGTGTAAGGCATATAATGCACAACTCAGAATCCCAGAGAAACAAAATCTGATAGTTACAGAAGGGATACATGTCTTCAATCCCAGTAGCTTGGTTTGACTCAAATTAATAGAGTGAACTGTGTACTGGATTTTTGTCTTGGTGGAAGCTGTTCTGGAATTCTGGCAGGTCATATGCGCACAACTGAGAATGAGTATGGGATGGTATAATCACAAAGCCATTTGGTGAAATCACACTACTCAAAGGACTTTCATATATATACTAATCTTTTAACAGTTCTCATTTATATGAGCCACACTTATAAATACTTTTTTTCTTTTTTTGCAATAAGCAAAAAATTTTTTGCTCATATGAAGTTATGGCCAAGCTGAAGTCTCCTTAAGGCCTTACGTTTTTCATTCCTAACCTCAGACTGATGTACTTACACTGACATACAGAGTTAGATAAACTTCATTTCTCAAAGTGTATCTTATGAAACAGTAGTACCTATAAATGCTCTAGAAAAAAAAAGTCAAGTAAATCTGAGCATGGTAAACTATGTGTCTTACAGATTTATGATACAATTAACATACTAGCATAGCTTTGTGATAATCCTGAATAAAACTCACTTAACTTTGTTTAACCAACATTTCTTCAACAAATTATAACCATAGAATTTTTTAAAAAAGATTTTATTTATTTATTTGATAGAAAGAGACAGACAATAAGAGAGGACATACAAGCAGGGGGAGAGGGAGAAGCAGGCTTCCTGCTGAGCAGGGAGCCTGAGACGGCGCTGGAGCTCCATATGGAGCTTGATCCCAGGACCCTGGTATCATGACCTGAGTTGAAGCAGATGCTTAATGACTGATCCACCCAGGCGCCCCCCAGAGAATTCTTTTGATGAGTCGTCTATAGCCAGGTAATACTTCTTCCTCCCTGAAAACCCTGAGAATATCCAAAATCAGAGAAACTAAGCTTGTATGAATGCTAGGGTAAGATGGGATAAGGCTGTTACCACAATAAAGGAAGGCATTCTCAAGAGAAACTGTGGAACATAGTATGTTTGACAAAAAGTATATAACACAGCATTTCAAGACTATAAGATTCACTCAAGATCATAGAAGAGTAGACCCTCCATCTATCAGTTGGGGTCAAATGGACAACAGATGGCACATTCAAATCAGAATAACTGAGGTTTATTTATAAAAGGACTTATAAATAAGTCACTTTTTAGAAAGGTATAAGTGAGTGCTGCAAACCTGTTACCACCCGAGGCCCAGTGGGACAAGGATAGGGAACAGTTAAGCAAATGTGGAAGTCCTGCATGGCTAAATACCTTGAGAAGAAAGAACTGGGGGAATAAACATCCAGACCATACTTTCCTGCTCCCCTTTGATCTTCTGGCTTGGCTTTTCCAACCCAAAGCTAGAGTGTACAAGTAGCCCCTTGATGTGGTCTATACAGGTCATTTTCTCTGGGCAAGGGGGAAAGGATGATGGGTGCTGGACCTGGAGGGACAAATGTAGGCCAGTGGCACAACCAAGAAAGATTGTGGACAAACTATTCTGTTATTATAGATACATTGATTTATGTTTTCCTTACACCATTTCATGTAAGTAACATTATGTCTCCACAACTGGGCTATAAGCCTAGGATACCTTTTGATTCTTTTTGATATTTGTCTATTAGAAGATTCCAGGAAAAATTATGGAGTGGTAAATAAAGCCACTGACCAACTCTAATGACCTATTTTTCTGATCTTGGTACGTTTCCTATAAATCTCTAGCATTCTTAGGTTGCCTCTTTCTTGCTGAAAGGCCCCATCCTATTGCTACAAACCCAGTATCCCAGGCATGGACTTGTCTCTCTCTGTGTTTTCAAACACCAAAATAAAATTGTCTCTGTTTTTCCTAATCTCAAACACTGAAATATGGCTGTTTCATTCCGTACAGCTTCAGTGCAAAGCTAATCTGATAATTTCGTGTCAGGGAGCTTACAGTTGAAATGGATTAAAAGTGCTAATCTTTTGGGGTATTTATAGTTTTAACATGGGTCTCCTGAACTTAATGAATGCCTTAATTCAGCAATTTTCAAACTGCTGCAAAGGAGAGGAAGAAGGCTAAAAGGCAGGACTCCCCTTCTTTTTTCTACCTTTTTATTTACCAGAAGCTCTATACCCACCTGTAACATTCCATTATCTGGGGAATGTTTCTGAGGCGAGTATACGTACAGTTATCTTTATGAATAGGAAGATTTCAGGCACTCACTGTGATGGACACTTCTGGCCAGGGAAGTGTTTTGCCCTCTCTATTCCAAAGTGCTAGTATAAGATTCTGCACTCAATGAATACCCAATGAACTGAAAAATGTTCTATTACCCATAGTCTCTGTCTCGACTGACAGATGGACTGTCACATAAGAGTTCCTGCCAGTCTGTATGAGAACCACCAAATTTTCTCTTGGCTTCCTGAAGTTAATTTAGGTTTGTCAAGATCCAGGTACCTAGAGATAATCATTCCACGCTCGAAGGCTCAAAGGCACAAACTAAGACTTCTTGTTTGCTGCTAAACCTTTATACCTCACCCTCACCTGGGCCTGACACTAGGAATCATTTTATAAATGTGATCTAAGCATTCTTTTAAGGATGGACCCTTGTCATTGACAGGATCTGCCTGTTGCTGGTGGTGATGATAGGTGGTGCCCTTCACAGAGAAGAAAGGCCCACAACTAAGTGCTGCTCACATTCCACCCCAGAGCAGACCAGAGGAAAGACCCAGAGAGCAAGTGGCTGCTTGAAAGGCTACAGTGAGCCATTCTCCCAATAAAGTTTACTGTGTAGTCTCTAGGATTTACTGATCCTTCTCACCTGAAAGAGGTCTTCTCCTTTCCCCCTATTTACTCTTCTCTTCAATAAGAGGTTTATGACCCATCCTCCTAAACCTCCCTTTCTCTAAAAGACCTTTTCAGAGATACTAGACTGCCCACTCATCCCCTATTTTTTTTACACCCAAAACAACAGTAGTGATGCTTACAAGAACTGGTCACTGGATGCTAGTTTTATGTACAGCCGTTGTATGCAGCCTGGACTTTTCAAAGTTCTAGCCTTTGGGGAATTTGATTTGGGGGGACTCTAGAGTCCAACTCTGACTGCTCCTCAATGACATACACAGATGTCTAACAAGACTTTTCACTGCTTAACCTATACTAGACTTAACAGAACAGCACTAAATTTGCTCTCTACATGTCCATCTCCAGGTGTCACTCTCAAGGGATCGTGAATTACTCTTGGATTTCTTAAAAGGAAGCATGGCTCCAGATAGCACAGGTATGACCTACTTATGTTCCACAACCTCATATTCTTTTCGTGGGGAGGCAGATTCAAAAGTCAGAACTATCCCATGCCCCTTACAAACAGGGATCCTGGAGTTTTAACAGTTATGTTGGAGAAAGCTGATATCAAAATTGGGACTTACTGAAGGACCAAACTTCTGAGGAAGAACCTGTATTCTCTGGCTAAAGTTTTTTTTTTTTTAAGATTTTATTTATTTATTTGACAGAGAGAGAGAGATCACAAGTAGGCAGAGAGGCAGTCAGAGAGAGGGGGAAGCAGGCTCCCCTGCCTCATGTGGAGCTTGATCCCACGACCATGAGATCGTGACCTGAGCCAAAGTTAAAGGCTTAACCCACTGAGCCACCCAGGCACCGCTGGCTAAAGGTTTAATACCCATCTTTCTCCTGTTTAAGTCTGAGAAAATTCTTATGTGGATTTAACTCTTTTACTGTCACAATTACATTTCTTTTATATCTTACTCTCCAGTGAATATGATTTAACATTTGGAAATCAAACCAGAAATATAAAACATACTAGGGAATATACTCACCTCTATCCCCATTATTTCCTTTGGTGTCTTCAATTGAATCTAAACAATCAATAAGGACTTCTCCAGGTCTTGTTTTCATTTGTCTAAAATAAATATCGAGGCTTTAATAGCTACAACTATACCCACTTACAATCTTGTTAGGGAGAGAAGAGACATATGCATATAAAACAACCATCAGTATAAATGATACAGTACCAAACGCTCATGCATTTGAAAATACGGGCTTAAGAACTTTAAGAGTCTGGAGACCAGTGGAGCCTGGAGTAATCAGGGACATGTAGAAAAGCCAGAACTAGGAGAGGTAGGATTTGGAGAAATGAGAGAGAGAGGGAGGAGAGTGATTAAAGACCAGAAAAAAGAAATGATAGGAGAATGTGGAAAGATGGGCCTAGCTAGGGAAGAAGATCCATGTTAAGAGGTAGTGAGAAATACATGCCACTACCTCTGAATGCTTAGTCAGATAGATATGGGCCTTATCCTGTGGACAATGGAAAACCCTCAGAGGTTTCTGAGTAGAGGACAGGAGGTTAGGCAGTTACGGAAGGAGCAAGTTAAAGCATCATTAGGAATCGGTAAACAATTAGATACAGGGAATAAAAGGAAATAAAGGGGGAAGAATAGTTTGCTGTCAGACAGAACGCATTCCAGAGTGTCCCCAAACAAACAAGAACCTAGCAGAATATGTGGTAGAAACCTCTAACACATTCTCCATACAGCTGACCCAATTACCTACTCAAAATACAGATATGATCATAATATAACTTTTCTGCCTAAGAGTCTTCCATGTCATCCTACTGCCTCAAAAATTATGTCCAAAATCCTCAGCTAAACATTTTATAATCTGGCTAATCCACCTGTTTGTTCCTCCATCCTCCACTTGCAGACTTTGCCTTCCAGCCAATGCCGTTTGTACTTCCAAGACTCTGCTCCCAGTGTTTTGTTTTCTTTTTTTTCTGGAATACTCTCCTGTCTACCATGACAAGGCCCTGCCCAGTCTTCAGGGTTGAACACAAATATTATTTCTTCTTCAAGGCATTCTCCAGGCAAAATGAACCATTCTGTTCCTATGATACCCCAGCTTTTTGTTCATTTTTTCCAGGATGGGTATTTACCACATTTTAAAAAATAGTTAGTTGTCTATGTGTATCTCCTGCACTAAAATGGGCGGCAGGTAATCGTTTTCTATTATTTTTGTATCTCTAGCTATCAGCATAGTACCTAGAACATAATAAGCATTTGATAAATGTTCAAGAAAATGGAAATGTTCATGAAATGGACCTTTGCTTGGATTAAGAACCCTCCGAGAATAATAGAAAAAGTCATAGAATGTGTGCAATCGGTAACCATCGTTTATAAATTCCCTTCCCTCACAACTTCTTAAAGGATCTAAGACCATGTTAGTATTAGATACCAAGCCACAACTAAGCCTGGGGAATTATTTCATTTTTCAAGGTTTTGGTCATGATAAGGAAGCATAGGAAGTGGCTAAGAAGCTTCATACCATTAACCGGAGAAGCCTGACAGTCTTCCAACAGTTTATTTCTCAATGGGCATTTTCTCCCTGGTCTTTAGGTAGGAAGGTTTTAAGTATTCTTTCTTTAAAGCATGACATTAAAAAACAAAAACAAAAAAACCAGGGTTTCTGTTGAGAGGTTCCAAAAAGTAGCTCCTTCCTCCCACTGGCGATTTAAGTGAATGACAAGTGGAAGCTTATCATGGAAACCAAGTTCTCGAGGTTAGCAATTATGGAAAATGCTTATTCCCACCTCCTTTGTTTTACAAAGAGACTCGAGCTTAAAATGGCGAAGCCGAAGGGTCTACAATATGTGTCGCTATTCCAGACCTAGTTTCAGAACCCTGGTCTCCTGAGTCCCTTCCAAACGTCCCCCATCACAGAAGAGGAGCACTCCCAAGCTCACTTGGGTGTACTGAACGCACAAGTCCTAGATGGTCCCGGACGTACTTGGGCTCAGTTTCCCGATAGGTGCCCGGTACCCCCTTTCTCTGCCAGGAATTTTCTTTCCCCAGATCTCTGAAACGGTTTCATTGAGATGAGTTCCCTCAATGGCCAGGCCAGTCTGGGGTCTCCCGGGGACCACAGGCTCAAACCTCCTCCCGCTCTCGCGAGGGCCGTGAGCGGTGGGGGCGCAGCCTCCTCCAGAAACCGCGCCGAGGCGCCCTCTATAGGCCCCAGGAACGACTCACTGCGAGGAGACATCGAAGCGGACATCCCGGTCCTCCCAAAGCGCGTCCAGCACCGACATGGTGACCGAGGCCCAACGCGGGCACTCTCCACAGCGGTGGAGGCCGAGAGGCGTCTCACTGGCTCCCAGGCAACGGACCACGTCTGTCACGACGTCTACGGCGGGCGCCGAGATCCAAGCTTCCTCAGATAGAGTGTGCGCTCTCCGCCCCCGCCCCGCCGCCGCGTCGCGTCATTAAGCGGATTTGAGGCTCCAGGCGGGGTTTGGCGGCTCGGAGAAGCCGAAGTGGCCCCGGCCCAGAAGCATGTGCTTGACCTCTGGGTGACTTTCCGGGCCTGCAAACATACATCCTTAAGCCATTCCACCCTCTTCCCCCATTTTGCTACAGTCAAGAAATTTAAACTTAAAACTCTTAATTCTTTACCTGGCCCCGCCAGATCTGGTCCTGCCCACCTGCCCGACCTCTTGCTAACCCAATCTTTCTGTGTACATTCCAGCGAGGCGGGGGGCGGGGGGCTTTCTCTGCCAGGAATTCACTTTCCCCAGATCTCTGCATGGCCTGGCCTCTGTCACTTAAGTCTCAGCTCAGATGTCGACAGAGGCGGTCCCTGATCTTTCTTTCACCCCTACATACGTTGAGCACCCGGAGGGCAGGACTTGATCTATCTAGTTTGCTTTGAACAGTAGCTGGCGCAGAGTAGGCACTGGAAAACTTTTCGAATGAATTAAAATGCCTTCCTTTCCTCAACTTATGACGATTCTTTAAAGTAGTGGTTTTTAAAGTGTGATCTGGGGATCTCTGGAGTTCCTTAAGATCCTTTCAGGGCACCTAGAAGGTCAAACTATATGCACAATAATATGAAGACATTCTTTGCCTTTGTAACTTATTTATTCATTGAATGTGCAGTGGCGTTTTCCAGAAGCCATATGATGTGTAATTGTATGTGGAAGCAGGTGTGAGAGTCCAGGTGTCTTCCATTAGCCAGACATGAAGAAGACTTCCAAAAATGTAAGACAGTGCTACTCTTCTCACATTTTTGGGGGCGTAATATAATTTTTTAAAATGTTATCTACTTTGGGCACCTGGGTGGCTCTGTGGTTGGGGTGTCTGCCTTCTGCTTCAGTCGTGGTCCCAGAATTGTGGGATCGAGTCCTGCATCAGGCTCCCTGCTCAACAGGGAGTCTCCTTCTCTTCCCTTATGCACGTTCTGTCTCTCTCCTCTCTCTCTGAAGTAAGTAAATAAAATCTTTAAAAGATGTTATGTATGTTAACATATAATGAATTTACTACTCTTTACTGAATTTACTACTCTTTAATGAATCAGTAAATGACGTTTTAAATGTCTTACTAAAAGTCAATACATATAACCCATATAAACGTTCTTTCAGGTCCTCAGTAATTTTTTTTTAAAATCTCAATAATGTTTATAAGAATATAAAGGGATCCTGAAGTCATAGGTTTGATAACTGCAGTTTTAAATTATCTAGAGCCCCTCTGTGGTAGGCTCTGTGCCAAATACTAGAAATGTGAAAGACCACAGGAGTTTTTCTCAGGTTGAAGAAAATAATGAAGACAAAGGAACATACTTAAGTGGCCCCCAGTGAGTCAGGCCCTTGTATAATCCTCTCGCTGTGGGTGTGGGCAGAACCTGTGACTTGCTTCTAGCCAATAGACTATGGCAAAAGTGATGGGATGTGAAAGTGGTGGGATATCATTTCCATGATTATGTTGTTATGTAAGACTTGATCTTAGCTGACTGCAGCAAGACTCTCCTGCTTGCCTTGAAGAAACCAGTTGCTAGGATACGGCCTTTAGGGCCAGTAGACTCAGTTATATAAGCGCAAGGAATGGGAATTTGCCTGCAACCTGAATGAGGCTGGAAGCAGATCTTTCTCCAGTAAAACTTCTGATAAGCCCTTTGCTCCAGGAGTATTTAGCTTGCAGCCTGGCTTGACCATAAGCAGAAAACCTAGAAAAACCATGCTTGTAGTTCTGATCTACAGAACAGGGAGATAATACATGTCCGTTGTTTTAAGCTGCTGAATTGGTGGTAATTTGATATATGCAACAACAGAGAACTAAGACAGGTTGTAGAATCAAGGGTGGTGCTACTCAAACAAACAGCAGAGGCTGAGACCCAGCAAAATTCCGGTAGGAAGAAGGCTGATAAAATTTCAAACCTGCACGTACGTTTTACCTTTCATGAAAAGGCAAGGATGAAGTTTCGAACTGAAATATCTCTAACTTTTCTTCTGTGCCTAGCCCACCATTGTGTGATGGAAGTGTGGGGGACAGACAACTGGTCTCTTTAGTTTCCCGAGTCTGTCAAGAGGAATTGTGCTTCGAGGAACTGTACTTAATGGTTTATAACCCGGAACATTATTTGCACCACATATAGATGATTTAGATGATGAGATCATGGTTTTTGAGCTGCCAGTGTAATGGGAGACGAAGGGAACCTTGGGAGGGAGCGAATTGTATTTTTTTCCTTTGGGTGGAGCATGAATTGTTGAGTGCCAAAGGGCAGGCTATGGAGACAGAATTCTGAATGACCCCTAAGATTCTTGTTCTCCTTACGTGCATACCTTATCTAGTTACTTTCCCTTGAGCATGGAAGAATCTATGACTATTAAAAGGATATCAGCCCTGTCATGAAATTATGTTATGTGGAAAAATTGAGATTTTGCAGATGTGATTAATGTCCTTCAAATTCAATCAAAAGGGAGGCTATCTGTAGTGGGCCTGACCTTATCAGGTGAACCCTTAAAGGGGATTTTTTTTTGCAGGATTTGTTGAAATAGTAGCCAAGTTATGAGAAAGCCACATGGCTAGGAACTGAGGGCAGCCTCTAGGAGCTGGGAGAGCCAGCAAGAAAACAAACTGCAGCCATCTAATTATGAGGAACCTAATTCTGCCAACCCAAATGAGCCTGGAAGAGAAGCCCAAGACTCAGATAGGATCACGTCTTGCTGACACCTTGATTTCAGGTGAGACCCTAAGCAATGAACTCAGCCCAGACTCCTGACCCATGGAAACTGTGAGACAATAAATTTGTGTTGTTTTAGATTTTGAAGATTGTGAAAATTTGTTGTGAAGCAATATTGAATTAATACACTGAAATCACAGTAAGATTTTTGTAATGAAGACTGAAATGAAGACCTACTTTTCACTGTGCTTATAACTGGAACTTCATAATTCTGTTTCCTAGACTTTATTTTTCTCTTGCCTTTGCAAGGAAAGTTTGTGTGTGTATGTGCTTAAACATTTATTGTTGCTTTAAAATTTTTGAATAAATTTTACTGAAGTATGATTTACATAGAAAAATGCACCTGTGGGGTGCCTGGGTGGCTTGGTCAGTTAAGCATCTACCTTTGGCTCAGGTCATGATCCCAGGGTTTTAGGATCAAGCCCCACATGGAGCTCCCTGCTCATCGGGGAGCCTGCATCCCCAACTCTTCCGCCTCCCTCTAAACCTGTTTATTTCCTGGAGTCCATTGTCTCTCATGGTTCCTCTCCCCCTCTGATTTCGCCCCCTTCATTTTTTCCCTTACTTCTCCTAATGTCCTCCAGGCTATTCCTTATGTTCCATAAATAAGTAAAACTATATGATAATTGACTTTCTCTACTTGACTTATTATTTCACTTAGCATAATCTCCTCCAGTTCCATCCATGTTGATGCAAAAGTTGGGTATTCATTATTTCTTATGGCTGAGTAGTATTTCATTGTATATGTGGATCATATTTTCTTTATCCATTCATCTGTTGAAGGGCATTTCCGCTCTTTCCATAGTTTGGCTATTGTGAACATTGCTGCCATGAACACTGTGGGTGTGTGTGGCCCTTCTTTTCACTACATCTGTATCTTTGGGGTAAATACCCAGTAGTGCAATTCCTGGGTCATAGGGTAGCTCTATTTTTAACTTTTTGAGGAACCTCCACACTATTTTCCAAAGTGGCTGTACCAACTTGCATTCCCACCAACCGAGTAAGAGGGTTCCCCTTGCTACACAAACTCTCCAACATTTGTTGTTTCTTGCCTTGTCAATTTTTGCCATTTTGACTGGTATAAGGTAGTATCTCAATGTGGTTTTGAGTTGAATTTCCCTGATGGCTAATGATGATGAACCTTTTTTTCATGTGTCTGTTCGCCATTTGTATGTCTTCTTTGGAGAAGTCTGTTCATGTCTTCCACCCATTTTTTGACTTGTTTGTTTTTTGGGTGTTGAGTTTGAGAAGTTCTTTATATATCTTGGATATCAGCTCTATGTCTGTAGTATCATTTGCAAATATCTTCTCCCATTCTGTGGGACTTCATTTTGTTGACTGTTTCCTTTGCTGTGCAGAAGCTTTTTATTGTGATGATGTCCCAAAAGTTCATTGTTGCTTTTGTTTCCATTGCCTTTGGAAACTTGTCTTGAAAGAAGTTGCTGTGGCCAGTGTTGAAGAGGTTACTGCCTATGTTATTCTCTAAGACTTTGATGGATTCCTGTCTCACAATGAGGTATTTCATTCACTTTTGTCTTATCTTTGTGTATGGTGTAGGAGAATGGTTGAGTTTCATTCTTCTGCATATAGCTGTCCAATTTTCCCAGCGCCATTTATTGAAGAGACTGTCTTTTCTTTATTGGATATTTTTTTTTCTGCTTTGTTGAAGATTATTTGATCATAGAGTTGAAGGTCCATATCTGGGCTCTCTGTTCTGTTCCATTGATCTATGTGTCTGTTTTTGTACCAATACCAAACTGTCTTGATGATCACAGCTTTGTAATATAGCTCAAAATCAGACAACATGATGCCCCCAGCTTTGTTTTTCTTTTTCAACATTTCCTTGGTGATTTGGGGTCTTTTCTCATTCTGTACAAATTTTAGGATTGTTTGTTCCAGCACTTTGAAAAATGCCATTGGTATTTTGATCAAGAGGGCATTGAAAGTATTGATTGCTCTGGGAAGCATAGACATTTTAATGATGTTTATTTTTCCGATCTATGAGCGTGGAATGTTTTTCCATGTTTTTGTGTCTTCTTCAATTTCTTTCATGAGTGTTCTGTAGTTTCTAGA